AAGAGATTTACTGTCGGGTTTAGTTTGTCAACACTTTTGGAGATGTCCACGGAGTTTAACTTTAGATAAATGGCTAAGGATGCACAGCTTTTTTTATTATGACGGATATATGGGAAAGTAGGGTGATATGCGGTGTCGTGTTTCTGGCCGATGTTGGGCATTCAGTTGGTTGCAGTTCCAGAGCCATTACCTATCGAAGGGTGAAGTAAAGTTGTGTGTCTGCTTGAGACCAAATGAAAGGTTGTTTTAGCATAAACAAGCACTGAACTTGGTTGAACTGGTTAGTATGACAGTAACAGTAGCAGTGCTGCGATCAGAAACTTGATTGCTTGACGAAATTTCTTTGCGTCATAGTCCTAACGCCTCCTCAACTGACGTTTCTCCGTGTGTCCTAGTGCAATGTGAAGTGCCGGAAATGACTGAAATGACTTGGACGTTTGGCTTTGAATTATGGAGTAAATCAAGTTCTGGGTAGGGTTTGCAGATTAGGTATATTATTCTTGTATAAGCAAAATAGTAGCATTATTGATATTATGAGGTAATGTTTTAAAAATCTCCTAATCTATTTTGCTGGCTGCTCAAAAGCAACGTTAGGGGGTCAAAGACCTAGTTTCAATGCGAAGTTTGGTTTTTTGAACATTGCTGCTAGGTTAATGTTGAACGATTGTGTTGAAATAAGTCTATTATTATAGTAAAATGAACAGTTCTGAAGGTATTTTGGAGTTTTTTGGCAATATTTCTCTAGCTGCAAGATTTTTAGTGTTAGTTCTGACCATATTTTGTCAGTAGTGTTAGAAAGGGCCTCAGTTGGCCTCGATTTGTATTTTCTCATCAAATCGTGGCTTATCCGTCTTCTGGTTGCTCTTGCTTAATCATATTCAATCCACTGTGTGCTCAAAAAAAAATATATTTTTTAGGATGCTTAAAATTATTCTTGAAATATCTCTACGAAAAACACCGAATTCGGTTTCGCGGTTGATGTGTGTAAGAAGGCTAGCTTCTAGTGTCCCAACAACTTCTCAAGAAAAAGTTGCAGAAGTTGAAAAAGTGAAAGATCCGGATATGTTAGAGGTTGTTAATTGTTTTGCAGCTTTTGTTGACCTTACTATATGATTATTACACAATTTTGGTAAGTTCTGTAGAGCTTTTCCGGTGAAATAAATCCTGTTTGAATTTTGTCTCGTACTATGGAAGAGTGCTCAAACTAGAATAGGATCCCTTGATAGTAATGTTCACTGTACATTTTGAAACTTGCAAATCTTATAGTTGTTCTCGCTCTTCCAAACACTCAATTACTTGTGGGCTATGATGTAAAAAACTTTGGGATCAGTTATAATATTATGCTTTATTGATAACTAGTAATTTTTTGAACGAGTAATTTTCTTGGCAGTTATGTGTGAGAAGCAGATGGATTGTGAAGCATTTTAGAAAATTGATCCTGAAAAATTGCCAGCAGTACAGAAACGGTTTGTGAAGGAGATACAGAAAGCGAATGAAGCTCGTATTCAAGAAATATTCAGAAAGAACTACAGAGTATGATTTTCTTCTCTGTGTTTTTTTGTTTTGACAATTGTATTACACTGTTAAACAATATGGAGAAAGTGGCAGCATCAAATGTTTTTTTTAGCTGTTTGCCTTATCTTAATTCTGTAGTCCTGAAACTACTCTGTTCGCTAAGTTTCTTTTATTTTCTATAACTGTATCTTCCATCACTAGCTGTTTATTCATTTTTTTACTTTGCAACCGCTAAATTCTTCATTAGTATATTCACTAGTCTTTGTCAAGCTTATAAATTGATGAAACTAGTTGTATTTCAAAAAAGTGATGTCAACTGTATTGGTTGAGGTTTTATTATTTCAAGAATGAAGTAGCAAACAATTTGGCTTTGTAGGATGGTGTTTGAAGCCTTTACTTTATGTGCTTCCACTTGTTCTCTCTCAAAATGGTGGTTTGTGAGTGCTGCACATGTAATTGATAATTGAAATTTCTGTTTCTTTTACCTTTTGAGTTTCTTTTCACTAAAGTGTTTCAGTTTTTAATCCAGTGCCAGTGAAATTTGGTAAAATGGAAAGATCTTTAGCTAAAATTCTTTCAGAAGTTTTTCATTAATGTTTTGCCACATCGGTGATACATTTTAGCAGGTTAGACAATACGTTTTTTGAAATTACAGTTGTTCCTCGACTGTAATTCGGCAAATAAGTTTTTAAAATTTGTTGGACTCAAATTTTTTCTTTTGAAGAGGAAGTACAATTTGAAGACTAATGACAGTAAACGAATATAAAGACGGTATGGGACATTAAAAATCAATTTAAAGGTTACTGTGAAATAATCAATAAATATTTCAAGTTATAAGTATTTTTAGTACGAGTAATTGACCTGTTTTCATTTTTGTTTCATCTTTTTTTTATGATTTTTTTCATTTTTAACGCATAAATTGTTTTTTATTCAGGTTTAAAATTAATGTAAGAGTTTTGACATTTTGGGATGGCATGACCGTTAGCATAATGATAGTGTCATCTTTATTCTACAAAAAAAAAATTTGCTTTTCAGAATATCGCTGGTTTTGTTATACTGTCGTCAGTAGTGTTAGCGATCTATTTTTACACATTGTATGCAGTAAAACAAGAAACAATGCTGGAAGAGATTGATTATGAAGTTAGCCAAGAAGCCGTGCAAAAACAGAAGGACGGAAAGTAAGGGCAGGAAGTGAGAGAGGAATAAGAAGAAGAAGAAAATAATGACTATAATAAAGAAAGTGGCGTTGACAGCGGATGTTTTCTGTGTGATTTTTTCTTCTTTTTATTTTTTTCCATAATCTTTTATCAATTAATCAACTTAGTGTAATTGAGGCAGTAGTTTGAAGAATCTGTTGCATGACTCATTGATAGTACAGTGTTGACTGAATTACATTTGACAAATGAAGACAGCTTAAGAGAAGGTAATTTTTTCTTCTTGAATTGACATCGAAAAACGGTCTAGAGAGGGAGGGGTAGAAGAGTTTTTTGCTGTTTTTATACATCTATTTTTCATTGAAAAAAAAAAGTACAGTAGAAGATTTACATGTTTGAACAGTTTTACTGATATGCTGAGTGAATGAATAATTTTCTAGAATAATTATAACAGTTTTTCGGTTGTATAAAAGGGGTGTTTTATTGCATTTTTTTTTATGACACTTAATTATGCAGTAGGAACTTTGAACCTTTTTCAGTTGTATGATTTCTATATGTTAACATTAGGCGTCAATTGTAGTAATAAAAAAGCAATTTAAATGGCTTTCAACACAAACAATTTAATGCATATAATTTAAGTGTTTTTTACTTCCAAATTTAGTGAGCATCAAATTTTTTTGGTATAAATAAAAAAGAAAAACTGATTTTTTATTCGAGTATTGACCAGTCACTTGCATTTTTAAACTGTATAGTAATAGCGACGAAGAAAATCGCTGTTGTCGACGTCGTCAGTTCATCAGTTGCGCGGCTGTTGTCAAGTTACCAGCATCAGGAACTGCTGTAGTAAAATAAAAGTTAGTTCCTTTGAAACAGAAGAAGGAAGTCAGAAAAAATAATAGAATTTGAGTAGCATTTTCTTTTTTTTCTCTACACTTTTAGTACTGTGTAACCATTGGTGGCGTATGTTTTCTTAGGACTGATGATTCATGATTAACGAGGTTTTTTATTTGTCATTTTGCGGTTGTTCTTTCATGTTTTTGATGACTGCAAAAAAAAAAGAAAGAAAAAAAATGCGTGGAGATTTTGTTGGTGTCAAAGCAACTCCAATGACCATTTTATACTCATCAATTTCGTTTTCTAACATCAGTTTCATCCTCAGTTAGTTCACTTGACGCCAATTTTCCGCCGATGCAAACGCGAACAGTTCAATATGGTGATGATGTCGGTCATTTGTAACAGTTTTCGTTGAAGGTCTTGTTGGCAAGATTCTTGCAATTTCTATAATAATTCTTACAAAATAACGGTATTGGTTTTATTAATAGTAATGTAAACTGTTTATTTTTATTACCAGTTTATGTGAATGTTCAAAAAACAATAGATTTGCTCTTGGATGTGCACAGTTATCTAGCTTTTTTCACTTCTTTTTTCTTTTGTTTCTTCACATCTTTAAGTCAGTTTATGTGGACATCAGAACACTTGGATACAGTGGCTTGTTATTCCTTGTCGTCAGTTTTGCCTTCCTGCTTATTTACCAGTCAATTTTTGCTGCTCATTGTTATCATTAATGCTTTCAGAGTTTCCAGTGAAGTATACAAAAGAAAAAGGTTTTTTGAACAGAAGAAACAAAAGAAGAAAATTTTGTTATAATTTTAACTAAAAATAACAATATGTTTATTTATTTTGGCAATTGTTGAGTTCAACAACTTAAAAAGTGTTTAAAAAATGAGATGAAAAGGAGAAAACTGATAACGACTCAAAATATATGATTGATTTAACGGTTTTTAACGGTTTTTTAACGGTTTTTTAACGGTTTTTTCCTTCTTTTAGATGTTGGTCAACAGTTTTTACGGTGGTTCTAAGATTGCATAAGCTTCAAATGTTATTTTGAGATAAATAATTGGTGAGGTACAGGAAATGACGATAAATTAAATAAATGTTTGTAATTTAGATGGTAAAAAAGAAGAAGTTTGAAAGAAGATGCCATTCTTTTTATTCATTTATTTATTTTTGTTTATTGAATAAACCGGTGTTTTAGAAGTATTTGGTAACCAAAAAAAAGTCCTGTTTATTTTTTTGCCAATGAACAGTCATCGAAAAACTGGTAAAGCTGCTGTTGTTTTGCCTGTGTTTGCGTCTGTGTGTCTGTGTGAACGTTTGAAACTGCGTGTCTCAGTGTAACAAACTTTTTCGATCATTTTTTTAAACATTTGATTTCACCACAACTGTTTTGCTGCTGTTTTTGTTACATTAATTTGAGTTTATATGAAAAAAAAAATAAGAATTTTTTTTTTGTTTTTTATAAAGGAAAAAAAAATTTGAGTTTTAATAAAAAAGTGAAAAAACTGATAAAATACAGTCTTTTTTTTCTGCTATTTTTTTAATCCTGTTTTATATAACTTTTCCTCTGAACATTCTTATTTCCTTTATTTGCAAATTGTTTGAAATCTCAATTTTTTTTGTCAGTGCCAAATTTTTTTTACTGCTATTGAAATTTACTCAACTTTCAATAGTAATGCTTTTGTGATTTTGCAAAATGACAGTCAGAATATAGAAGTTTGGTGGAGGAAATGAAAAGAGGAAGAAAAGCGCTTAGCACTTAAATTGGTTCAAAAAATCCCCATTGTAGACTATTTTTTGTCACGTCAGTTTTTTTTTTTTTCTTGATATGTATCAATTTAAAAACTTCTGAAAGTTTGTTTCAGATGTTGCTTGTCTCTTTATTCTCCCCATTTTTCCGTTCTTATACTTGGTCAAATTTGATGGCGGTAAAGTTGAATGATAGTTGGAACCAGGAGTGAAAGTTTTATTTAGCTGTTATAATATCTTCTTAACTTCTGTTTGTAAAAGTAACTTTTTCAAAAATATATCATAAAAAATTTTATCAGTTATGATTTCAGTATTACTTTTTGAGAACTACTGATCATCAGATTGTTTACAAAAAGAAACATTGTAGAAATGTGATATATGTTGCTGCTATCACTTCGTTGGAAGCGTTTTGGTTTTCAAAAATATAAAATTTTTTTTCTACTTCATTTTTTGTCTTACAATTTTAGACAGTTTCAAATTCAATGACGACTCGTAACTGTTT